TTTGTATTTCTCCACTCCAGTTTTTACTTTTTCTTGATTTGTCACTTTAAATCTTTTTTTTTTTTTTTTTTTTTACACTCTCCTCCCCTTTCTTGCCTCTTTGCCAAGATCAATGTTAAAGAGATTGCAGCAGGGAACTGACTAATCCTAGGCCCTGATCCTGCTACACAGACTTGCCAGCATGCTTAACTTCATGCACAGTAAGTGGTTCTGTTGACTTCATTGGAGCTACTCCATGCATAAAGTTAAGCATGCACACATTACCAACTCTTGTGATATTTGGTAGTTTTGTTTTGTTAAGGCACCAGCTTTAAGAGAATCTCAGCTGTCACTTCAAAATTCTAACTTTCCTGATTGCAGAGAAAAGCTTGTAAATGTGACCGCTATAGGCTCAAAACCCAGAAAGCAAATAAAAAGTATCCACAATGTATTATTTATTTAAGCCAATTTCATGATTTTTGAATGTACTATGCATAAATCTTTGCAGGGTCAGGGTTTAGGATTGTTCAGTTTTTCTCCTGCATCAAACTCCTTACACACAGAGCTATATTATTACAAAGGGAAACCGGCTAAGTCAGTTTCTGCATAAAGCTGAACTAGATGCAATAGGAAACTGACTAGGATTAGTCAATTTCCTTTGGCCTCCACCTCCCCTGCTGCTGGGCTCATCTTGGACCTGTCCCCTCCCCCAACTTTGGCTCCTCCCTTCCAGCTGCAGAGCAGCAATGTGAAATTAAGACTGTTAATTTGCAGGGGGAGTCTGCAAAGTTTCAGTACGTTTTACCAGCCCCTGGCACCACCTGTTCCTTTTCCTTCATCAGTGGGCCTACTTCTTGCTTTCACACTTGATGTTTACATCACAAGAAGTTTGATATGACTCAGGCTATGTCTACGCTACAGAGGTGGTGCTGGCGGTGTCCTGGAGTTAGACACAGTTTACGCTGACAAGTTTGTCTGCTGCTGTAGGAATGCCACCTCCCTGGACAATACCAGTGATGCCGACAGAAATACTCTTGGGTCTCGCTGCATCTACACTGGGGGTTTTCAGGGGGCTCTGTCGTCAGAGGTGTTTTTTTCACATCCTGATCAACATGGCTATGCTGCTACAAATTTTAAGTGTAAACCAAGCCTGAGTCTAACTACCACTGATTTGGTCCATATTCACCTCTGTTACAAGGTTAGTTGCTTACCCCCAAGAGCTCCTTTCTGTAACCTGTTGCTACTGTGGGAAGCTATTTCTTGCTACTGTGGAATAGCTTTATTGCTGTGTCCAGTCTTGGCTTCACTAACATTACTACAATATTACAGTCCAGTCCAAACACGTATCTACTGCTGGAGAAAAGACCTACCACTGGAGTTTGTGTTAAAATACAAAATTTGGGAGGAACACCTGGCTCCCGCATTATTAATTGGACATCTGTATTAACAGCTGGAGACTGTTTTGACAACATTGCTAGCAATTCAATTCCAACTGTATTTCTCTGATCTAGTGGTCAGGGCCATTGTCTGAGAGTCAGAAATCACAAGAATTATTCCTAACTCTGCCATTAGCTTTATGACCCAGCGGACGTGCCCCAGTTTATCCATCTGTTACTTGGGGATGATGCTTACCTGAAGAGAAGGGGAAATTATTGTATAGTGGTTTGTCCAAGGATAATCTGAATTTCAAAGTTGGTGTCAAAGTCTTTCACAGTTTTCTTATATATATGTTGTGTACGTTAACTTGTATGGAATACTGTGTTCTCTCAAGGGGAAGTATTGTATGTACCTTATCTTCTCTTAAATCCCTGGATACACTGACTGGGGCCTCTTACATGAGATGGAAAATTGAAACTGGCTCAGTTTCTCTGGCCTGGCTACATAAGGAAATTAGGTTGGTATAACTACATTGCTCAAGGGCATGAAAAATCCACATTCCTGAGTAAGGCAGTTAAACCCACCAAATCCCTGGTGTAGACAGTGCTAGCTACCACCTCTGGGGAAGGTAGATGAACTATGACTACAGGGGAACCCCATCTGTTGGCATAGGTAGTGTCTTCACTGAAGTATTCAGAGTAACAGCCGTGTTAGTCTGTATTCGCAAAAAGAAAAGGAGTACTTGTGGCACCTTAGAGACTAACCAATTTATTTGAGCATGAGCTTTCGTGAGCTACAGCTCACTTCATCGGATGCATGCCGTGGAAACTGCAGCAGACTTTATTTATACACAGAGAATATGAAAAAATACCTCCTCCCACCCCACTGTCCTGCTGGTAATAGCTTATCTAAAGTGATCATCAGGTGGGCCATTTCCAGCACAAATCCAGGTTTTCTCACCCTCCACCCCCCCCACACAAATTCACTCTCCTGCTGGTGATAGCCCATCCAAAGTGACAACTCTTTACACAATGTGCATGATAATAAAGTTGGGCCATTTCCTGCACAAATCCAGGTTCTCTCACCCCCTCACCCCCCTCCCAAAAACCACACACACAAACTCACTATCCTGCTGGTAATAGCTCATCCAAAGTGACCATTCTCCCTACAATGTGCATAATTAAGGTGGGCCATTTCCAGCACAAATCCAGGTTCTCACATCCCCCCCACCCCCATACACACACAAACTCACTCTCCTGCTGGTAATATGCATGCATCCGATGAAGTGAGCTATAGCTCACGAAAGCTCATGCTCAAATAAATTGGTTAGTCTCTAAGGTGCCACAAGTACTCCTTTTCTTTTCACCGAAGTACTACAGCAGCCCTACTTTAAGTGTAGACAGGCCTTAAGTTATCATCACCAACAGCAGCTGATAACAGCTCTTTTGTAGCACTACTCATTCTCAAAGTGCTTTACTAAAGAGGGCAGTAGCGTTAGCCTCATTTTGTGGGGAAACGGAGACGTAGAGCAGGGACGTGACTTGCCCAGGTCTCCCAGCTCTGCCGTTGTGCCTGCTGTGTATCGTACCCAAATCTCCTGAGTGCTAGTTTGATGCTCTATCCATTAGGCTGCACTGCCTCCCACTGTGCACAATTTGGGAAGAACGGGTATGGCATTCCTCTCCTCTTGTTTACCTCCCTCACCCTATGGAGCTGGGGGCCCAGCTGGCTCAGCATAGGAGGAGTTCAGCAAAGCAGAGCAGGGCACATCTGCTACTTTCTCTTGTTTCAGGCTCCCAAGGGCCCTGAGGTGGGAGGCTGGCCTTCATGCACAGCCTGGCCTTGCCTATTGGTCTGGTCAGTCTGTGGGGCACAGACACACAACAGGGAAGAGTCTCCTCCTCACACCTGCTAGTCAGACAAACAGCAAAGTAGCCTGTGGGTGGCTGGGTGCCAGAGGGCCCCCTGGCAGCTGGGGATGGTGGCAGGTAAAGGGGGGGATGCAATGACATCAACAGGGTGTGGGGGTGCAGCCAGGGCACAGTATGTACAGGGGGCAGAGCCAGGCCTTACCAGGGTAGGAGAGCAATGCTAGGGTAATGATCCCTTTCTGATGCCAGCTCGCCCCCTCAAGCTAACAAACATAGATTCCCTGCCCCGGGATGGGCTGGAAGCAAAGATCCCACCTGAGGCCTGACAGCTGGCACAGCCAGGCAGTAAGGAAGGTAGGGGCTAGGAAAGGGGGCTCCCCAGGCAGGTGAGTGGCCCCAGGGAGGAAGGGTATGCACTGCCGGACATGCCCCTGGAGATTGATCCTAGGCAGCCTCTGTACTAGACATGGGGCTGGTGCACGATTCAAGCTGCGGGGGACTCTGGCCTGGTGCACTAGCCCCCAGCTTCACGCTGCCACCATTGGGAGCAGGGTGGGGAGAGAACCGGGCTGGCACCCTCCGCCAGCGGAGGGGTAATCTTGGGTCGGGCAGAGGCAGGGCCAGGTGTGGGGTTAGGGCTCCCGGTCCCGGCGATCCCCGCAGAGCGGTGCACGCTAGGGGGCGGGCTGCCGGCCGGGGGTCACGAAGGTGCTTTCCGCGAGGGGGCGGCGCTGCGGCCTGTTCCCGAGCTCCTGCAGACCGGCCCGGCGCCCAGCAGGGCCCACCCGCGCGGGGAGCCGAGCGCGTCCCGCGTCGCTCCGGCCCACGCAGCCGGGGGAGGCGCCGCTCCTGGGCGGGATGGATCGGCACCGCCCCGGGCTGGGGGGGGCTGGCTGAGCCGTTCAGCTTCTGGCCAGCCACTACCCCGGGCCGGGCGGTGTCACGGCCGAGCGAGCCCGCGGGGACCGGATACTGGGCTCCCTGGCCGTGCCGGACACGGATCTGTGCAGGGGGACTCCCCACAGCGCAGACGCTAGCTGCCGCCTCCATCCCCGCAGCAGCTCTGGCTCCGGGTCCCCTCCCCGGCCGTGCAATGTGCACCCCGATCGGCCATGCGTCCTCCCCCATGTGCGGAGCTAGCCCTTCCCCTTGCTCCCCTGTGCGGGGCCAGCCCTCCCCCCAGGTGCGGGGCAAGCCCTGTCCCTTCTTCCCCCGTGCGAGGCCAGTCTCCCTTCATTCCCCCCCACCCCCATGTGTGGAGTCGACCCTGCCTCGTGCATCGCCCCATCTGCAGGGCCAATCCTATCCCCCCGTATTGACCCCTCCCCGTCCGGGGCCAGCCTCCCCCAGCCCGTGCATCCCCCAATGTGGGGCTAGCCCTACCCCTCCCCCCATGTGCGGAGACAGCCCTACGCCTCTCTCCCCTTCCCCCGTGCGGGGCTAGCCCTGCCCCTTTCCGCCCCGTGCATTTCCCCCATCCCCCATGTGTGGGGCCGAGCCTGCCTCGTGCATCCCCCCACATGCGCGGGGCCGGCTCTGCCCCTCCCCGGCCGTGTATTCCCCCGCCCCCCGTGGCTGCTCCGGGCCCGCTTGCCAAGCTGTCAGCTGATGGGCCGCATCACCCCGTAGTGGCGCAGGGAGCCGGGCAGCCCGGGCGCGGTTGGGGGCGGCGCGGGGGCGCGGGCTGCAGCGGGGTCGCTGCGGGAAGGCGGCGCGGCGCGGCAGGAGGCGTGCGAGGGGGCGGGGGGGCCGCGGGGGCGGCGCGGAGGGGGCCGGGGCGGCGGCAAATAGTCCTTTGTTTACATGGGCCGGTGGCTGGCGGAGGCGGCGCCGCCGGGGGAGGGAGCGCTGCGCTCGCACCAGCTGTTTCCCGCCTTGAGCGGCAGAGGCGCGGCGCGCTCAGCTGGGGCCGGCGCCCGCATGGAGTACTTCATGGTGCCCGCGCAGAAGGTGCCCGCGCTGCAGCACTTCAGGAAGTCGGAGAAGGAGGTGATCGGCGGGCTCTGCAGGTGGGTGCCGCCCGCGCGCCCGGGGGGGGCTCGCGGGGCGCGGGCCGGGCGGCGCGGCTGGCCGGAGCACGTGGGGCCGCGCGCGGCGCTGAAGCCCGGGGCCGCGTGCAGGGCCCGGCGGGCGCAGCGCGCCGCCCGGCTGTGGCGCGTCTCCCGCCCCGGGTCGGGGTGCGGGCCGGCCCGCGCGTGCCCTGCCTGCCGGCCGCATGTTGGGGGAGCTTTAAAGGGGGGTGTGTTTACCACGGGGCCTGGCCGTGACTCGGCAGCCCTCCCGCGGGGGGCGGGCCCGCGCGCGCCGGGGCCGCCGGGACATGTAGTGCGGCGGCCGGGGCCCTGTGGGGGATGTAGGCGCCCGGCCACGCTGCCCCGCACAAAGCGGGCCCGGCCCCGGCGGCCGCGTGGGCTGGGTGCCGCGGCGGAGCGAGGAGCCGCCTGCGCCCCGCGGGGGTTGCAGCGCCCCGGCCCACGCGTGCGCGCCCCACGGCGCGTGTAGCAGCTGGCAGGGGCGGGCCCAACCGCCGCTCGCCACAGGCTGCGGGGAAGGAGCGGGCCCGGCCCAGCGCCCTGGCCATGTGGCCGCTCCGGCCGCCAGTGCTGGGCAGGTGCCTCCGGCGGCCCCTGCTCTCTGCCTGGAGAGCTGGTTACAGCCCGGGCCTTCGCCCCGAACGCGCCTGGAGCCGCGTGCGGGCTGCACGTGGAGATGCACTCCCTGCTGGACCTGGGCCACAGCGCGCGGGCAGCTGGCAGCACCGCTGTGCGCGGCCGGGAGAGCCTGTCGGCGCCTCCTGGGGGGCAGGAATGATACCTCGAAGCTGGTGTCTCTCCCCACCCCAGGGGAAAATTAATGCCCCTTGTATGTTTGGACTTTGGAAATCCACTGTTGGGTGACTAAGTTAAACAGCACCGCTGTGGCCAGAGCAACGTGTTAAGTTAGTACATACAGCAGGGGAAACACTCAGTGCCTGCAGAAAGATGTTTCATTTACAAATTGGGGATATGCAAATTGCCAGCTGTATGGATACCTAAAGGTCTAAACGGATGTGCTAAGTAAGGCTCCAGAAAGTCCCTTTCATCATCTTCTTTCATACTCTTACCCATCTTAGTGGCCTAGAGGGATTTACTGTATAGAAAGAGTTGGAGTCTTACACTTGTGTGCTAATCTTCAGAATGAAAACTGGGAGGGAAGTAGCCAGAACACAAAAATGCTGTAACTAACTTGGATCCATTTACAAAGGGGGACCTGCTGTTGAGCAGCCTGCATGAGAAGGAAATTGTCCTTTGTGGTATTGTATTAATATTAATGAGGATCACAATTTGGTGTAGTCTTTATGCCATATGGAATTGCTTTGTACTTTAGCATAAACTAATACATATATATTTTAAAAAGTGCTTTCAGGGTATTCTCTTAATTCTGGGAGCAGCACTAAAAGTTCCTCTCTGCCTACAGTATGGTGGCTTTATTTGAAATGTCTCTCAGCTGGCCTATTTCCTACTCAGATATCGGTCCTGGACAAGTGGTGATGGCTGTCTTTTTAGTTAACCGCAGCGGAGATTATAACCTGTGTTTGAAGGCCTGCCCCACGGCGTGCCACCAGCAGTATTCTTTCTGTGGCTCATTAAGCTCTCTAGAAATTTAGGATAGGGAAAAGAGGAATCCTTCCATAAGCACCTTGAAGCTGTATTAATCTAGAACAGTGGTTCTCGACCAGGAGTGCAGGGGCTGCGAGCAGGTTTCAGGTATGCGTCAAGTAGGACCAGTGTTAGACTTGTTGGGGCCCAGGGCAGAAAGCCTAAGCCCTGCTGTGCAGGGCTGAAGCCCAGAGCCCGCCACCTGGGGCTGAAGCAGAAGCCTGAGCAACTGTGGGGGGGCCCAGTGGCAGTTGCTCAGCGTGCTACCCCTTAACACCAGTCCTGGCTTTTCTATGTAGAGAATAGTTGTGGCACAGGTGAGCCATGGAGTTTTTATAGCATGTGGCGGGGACCTCAGGAAGAAAAAGGTTAAGAACCCCTGATCTAGAATAGAATATCATGCTTAGAAGGGCACTGACCATTATTCTGGGTAGAATTTTACGGAACAATGTATTCACTCGTCCCCTTTGAAGCTTGAGAATAAAATCTGCATCTTTTCAGTTTCACACACATTGGATAGTTACAGGATAGTTGCCCACGGGGGGTGTTTTCTGAATTTTATTTTTTATTGTTGGGGTGGGGGAAGCACTGAGATGCATTTGTTTTAGATTAATCCACCACAATTTATGTGAGAGAACAGGTTTGTATCTTTGCTTTCACTTGGTGATTGGAACGTTTTCCACTTGCCACTAGGATGACGTTAACATCTTGGACCAGAGGTGGGCAAATTAGGGCCTGCGGGCCACATCAAGCCTGCGGGACCATCTTGCCTGGCCCCTGAGCACCTGGCCGGGGAGGCTAGCCTCTGGCCGCTCCCCAGCCGCGCTGCCGCTGTACCTCCAGCGCTCTGGCCAGTTGGGCAGCGCGGGTGGCATGGCTGGCTCCGGTGGGGCTGTGAGCTCCTGCTGCTCTGAGCAGCATGGTAAGGGGGCAGGGAGCAGTGGGGTTGGATAAGAGCCAGGGGGTCCTGGAGGGCAGTCAGGGGACAGGGAGCAGGGGGTGGTTGGATAGGTGTAGGAGTCCTGGGGGTCTGTCGGGGGCGGGGATAAGGGTCGGGGCAGTCGGGATGGGGAACGGGGGGCTTGGATGGGGGTGGAGTCCCAGGGGACCTGTCAGGGCTGGGGTTTGGATAAGGGTCGGGGGGAAATCAGGACAGGGAGCGGGGGGGTTGGGTGGGGTCCTAGGGGGGTGGTTAGGGGCGGGGGTCCTGGGGGGGGCAGGGTACAAGGAGCAGGGGGGTTGGATGGGTCAGAGGTTCTGAGGGGGGCAGTCAGGGGGTGGGAGGGGGCGGGGGCCAGGCTGTATGGGGAGGCACAGCCTTCCCTACCCGGCCCTCCATACAGTTTTGCAACCCCAATGTGGCCATTGGGCCAAAAAGTTTGTCCACCCCTGTCTTAGACTGTAAGGGGATGACTTCCCATAGTCTCTTTCACTGCTGAAGGAGAAGATGAAGTTCTGCTTCAACACCCAGAATGCTGTAGGAAGGCTGTATCCCTAGAGTTCTTTGGAGTATCGTGGGTTTGTAGAAACCCTGTGATCACTTTCTGTAGGAATTTCATTTTATTCTTAGACTTCTTATTGGTTTGGGTACACTTCTGCAGGAACAACTAGCACAGGTGAAAGTGAACCTGTTTTCAAATATCACCTTCATACTGATGAACAAGTCATTGGTATACAGGCTGGAAGACTGACTACTGCTTACGTCTCCATATCTTCAGTGTCTGTAGACTGGTTTATTGATTAAGTGAGTCTCACACTAAGTATATAACTTCAAGAATCTCCTATGAGAATTGCTTTTTGTTTAGACTGACTTGTCTCCTTCAGCTGTTTCATAGCAGCTTTATTCTGCTTAATAACTAGCCTGTGTTTGTTCTTCACTTGGAAGATACCTGCATGCTAAGTATGGCTATTTAATTTATTCCCAATAAATGACAGCTGAAGTTACAGAGACATGGATGGGGAGAACCAACATCCGTTAGTGAGAGAAACAAGCTTTTGCGCTTATTCAGAGCTCGTCTTCGGGTCTGGGTGAAGTTACAGATATTTCGTGATGCTGCCATAGAATCCACTAATGCTGTGCTGCAAATTCTAGTCCAAGACTGAGTATGTCAACACTGGTTTATGTTAGTTTCCTCTGTCCTGTAAATGAAACCTGGGGCAGAAGTATCGGGAACCCCAAGGCAGAACTGGTCCTTTGTCAGAGACTTAGTGCAATTGGTACTCTTCTGATCCAGCAGATTGGAGCCTGGTACAGTGCAGGCAGGTTCTAGGCAAGCTTCTTCCTGCCTAGCTGTATGAAAGAATCTTGCTTCTCCTCTGCAGTGTCCTACCCTGCGCTGGATCTTTTTTGAGTAGAGACTGAGTCGTATTGAATTGTATTTTGGTGTGTTTGTGCATACGGGGAAAGGCCTATGAATAAAAGTCTGAAGGGACAAGCATGAAAATCCATTGAACTCGCTTTATTTGTGAGCAACGTCTAAATCTGCACTCTAGCCTCCTAAGGTAAAAGATCAAGGTACTAACTCCCACTGTCGTATTTAATCCACCAGGCTAGCTTCTAAATGCATTTTTCTCTGTTTAGTTCTGTCACTTTTTAAAAGTCTTTCACCAGGAAGAACAGTTGTGGGGGAAGGTTATGAGAGGTCCCCTGATGAGGAAATGGGTTCTTCCTCTTTCTTTCTTCTTAAGAACCTCTGCTTCCTAGATGGCCCTCTTGAGCCACCTTTGTCTAATTTCCCTATGGGCCAAAGGTTTAGACTATCCCAGACACAAATAGCAGCTGGGGCTCATAGCTGTTCTCAAAAGAAAGCCGTAGCGGCCACATGCGAGACCTGAGGGTTTCACTTACCAAAAAAAAAAAAAAAAGTAAGCATGTACAGTCTGCTCTATCTTTAATATGGGGATGATGCTCAGAAAGGCTACAGGCCCACCTCAGGCCAGAATGGAGCAGATCACTGCCCCGTTAAAGATGAGGATGGCTTGGGATTTTTAGTATAGAACAGTTGGATGCGTGGGTCTTGTTTCGGCCAACCCTGGGTTGGTCTTCTGGCTTGTGGGCACAGACCAGGGTATTTCTGGACGGATCCAGCTGGAATTTGTGGGATCACTGATTGGTTTTGTGAGGATGCAGGGTAGGAAAGAGTTAACCTCAATATATGGGCCAGAGCAGCCTTCTCGATGGTCCTGCCAGCACCTGCACTGGAGTCATGCTTGCCCCATGAAGCCCTGCTATCCACCTTTGGTATCCCTACAGAACTGCAGGGCCAGAGCCGATCTGCAAGATTATTGTTTGTCTTGAGCGGTGAAGTGGCCTTGGAATTAGCAGTGAGAGACTGTCTTGTCTTCAGATCCTTCTGAATATATTTGTTGAATAGTCACATGTGCTTTCATCTGTGTTTTCACTTGTGCTTTCACTCTCGCTGTGTGACCAATAGCACAATGGGGTTCCACATTCAGTGACAGTGGAGTAAGAAGGTATTTCCCCTAACTGTCAGGCTGTGAACTCAGTATGGGCTCGGAGAGACAGGCTGGGTTCCTTTTTGCCCATCTTCCCCAATAACCAAGGCACTGCCAGATGTACGGCCCTGAACCATACTTGTGCAATCCCATTGCCTTCACTAGGGTTGCTCAGGAAAAGTTAAAGGAGGAATTTTGGCTCAGCAGTTGATTTAGTTAAGAAACCTGGTGTTCAAGACTGAATAGAGCAGACCTGTGCTCGCTGCGCTAATGCGAGCCAGAATGTACTTTAGGGGACCCTGAATATACATGGGCACAGGTCTGACAACTGCTCTTCGGAACAGAACTGTGCTTTAATATCGCACTCTTGTGGCATGAACCCCAGTCTCTGTTCTCTTGTTGCTCCTCCCTTGGGGCTCTGGCTTTCAGAGCCTTCTGTTTCCTGGGGTGGTAAGAACGTGTCATTTATATAATGGCGAACCCTTGTCCAGGGGCTTTGCTCTTTTTTTCTTTCCTGTCACCTTGGCTGTGATGTGACGAACTTGTGGGTGCTGCCCTGAAGTTCAGCAGCTTTTTTATGACTTGACACTACTGGCTACTGACTGCACCCTTAGAAATTGAACTTCAGCCCACAAAAGGAGGAGACGGTTGAGAGGTCAGGCTGAGTCTCTGGCCCTGTTGTGCCCAGGTGCTGGCTCATACCTGGTGTATTGGATCGCCCCCATTAGCCCATTTTGCACTTCTGTTGTATAACATGAACGAAAATGGGCAAATAAACTGTAAATCTCCATTTGCAATGTCAAGCAATGTGATCTTTCTTCGCTCTAGGAAACAGTCACTAGTCTTTAATACTTTGCATTTGTATAGCTTCTTCTGTCTGAGGCTCTCCTCGCACTTGCAGTGTCTTCCCTTTCTGGTTGTCTTTGCAGGTTGATTGTAGTGTACTTGACACAGCTGGCCAGGACTGGTGCCTGCAAGACACATCAGGGTAGTTAACAGGGAGGAAAGTGGCTGTTAGGGTGAGTTAATACGGAATCTCTCAGGCTGAGATCTTGCTGGCTGTTAACAAGTGACAGTGGATAGCAGGTGGCTGGAAGCGCAATTTTCATTGTTCCTGAATTCCACTATGACTTTAGTAACTGAATTCTCATGCAGTCTTGGCTATTGTACATACATAATGGAATAGTTCATATCCTTAGAAAGCTGCTTTCTATGTCTAATTCTTGATATAGCGGCTACTAACATCATGATTGGAAAATACACGAAATATAAGATAGTAATCAGAAAGACGTGGTCTGTGGTTTTTTTTTTTAAAGGCATGCATCTCATAGCTGGTCAGGGCTAGAAACCACCTCTTTAGCATTGTTAAGTAGCATTCCCAGCTCTCCAATGGCCTAAAGCTTTTCGGTGATTTGCAAGGTATGTGACCTTTGAAATTGCCAATAGTCTTTCCTAAAGTATTGTCTCTGTCAGTGGGCCAGGATTGCTATTCCAAGGCCTGGCACATGAATCAGTCTCCTGTTGCTCTGCGACATGGGCCACATGTGTAGGTTTGTTATGAGGATGAGGCTGCTGGTCGTGCATTGCATAGAAGGCATGGAGGGATAGATCCAGAACTGGGGGTACTGTGTAAACACTGCTTCACCTTGTTGTGGAGTTCAACGTTTGGTTTTAATAAAATATATTCTGTGTTAGCATTAAGCCATCCGGTTCTCTTTTCTTCTCCTGGGCCTCAAAAATGCCCTCTGTTGAGGAATAGTCTGGACTAGGAATATGGGTTGGCATGGTTTTAAACACTAGTGTAGACAGAGTTTAAAAACTTGTGAGTCGGTCATGGTCAAGCCCAGGTTCCCCTACAGGACTGACCACAATGTTTCTTCCTCCAACTAGCTGCTTGGTGGCGTTTGGTGTGGGAAGTGTTTTCCTGGCCAGTCTGCCAGATCACTCGGGAACGGAACGCGCAGCAGAGGCAGCAGGAAGCAGGCGGGAGCCGTGGCTTTGGGTGGGGTGGGGGCTGCCTCTGCTGGGAGTGATCATCTGGAAGCCATCAGCAAGAGGGGGAGGGGGCCTCTCATCCGATTCTACCAGGGCCACACACACAGGCTGGCCCTGCAGGGACCTCAGCTTAGATGCTTGGCTCTTTCTTACCATGGAGAAGTTGCGGGGGGGGGGGGGGGTGGTGAGTAACCAGAGGCCCTTGCTGCAGCTCACCAGCTCTCTCAATCTTTTAATCCTCCCTCTTCCCTGCCCAGCCCTGCACCTTTCACAGCCCTCAAACACATCCTGGAGGAGCTGTGACTCCTCAGCTGCTGCAGTGACCAGCTCAGGGCCAGGCTCTGCTCCGCTGGTACCGGAGGGTCCCTTTACCTTGGTCTTGCTTAGCACCTTTGAACTGAAGGATTCCAAAGACTCTTCCCATCTCTCTGTATTGGAGTCATTGTGTCCAGTGGTGAAATGGAGCCCCGCAGGGACTGAACCTAGCAATTTCATAGTGCAGGTAACCAGTCCGCAACAGGGTATGACAGCAAGGAGAGGCCACTGTGTCCAATTGAAAGTGAATTGGTTGTTCAGTGAAGTAGAATGCAATGACCAAGTTAGAAGTTGGGCAGACTGCTGGGGCTGATGCCTTGTCTTACAAGAGGTACCCTGGGCTCTACTGAATACGTATGTCTAGGCCCTCCGTACTAAGCCTCATCTGAAAGATGCAGTGTCCCTTGTCTCATGCCGGGGCATTGGGTCTTTTTAATATTAATTCAAGGAGTAGTGCCACCTACTGCATCACCACTTTCTTCAGCACCTTGGATTTTCTTTAGTGGCCTCCTAGCCAAGCTTTGTTCTGCTCTGATCCTGCATAATTCTGGAGGTTGCAGGAGATCTCAGCCTGCGGTGGTGTGGCTGTGGAATGAGAGTTGGGGAGCAGGCAGTCTTTGAATCACACCTGCTTGCAGTGCGGGTGGGGAAACTCCTCTTCTCCCCCATCCCTCAAAAACAAGATGGTGTGAAAGGTCTTTGGGCTCAAATAAACTGTTGTCATTAATAGGAGCAGAGTCCCAAAGCAGTTAGTCTCTCAGTTTGGAAAGCTGATTGCTCCCCCAACCACTGGAATGGTGTGATGTCCCTCCCAGGTGTGGTTCCCATTCCTAGCTCTTCCCTCACCTCTGCCCTAAAATCACCTGGATGCTGCTCTGTCCTTCAGGGGCAGCAGCACCTTGTCCTCTACCTCTTCTGGGCAGAAAGTGCTTTATGTAGGAAGTATGAGGCTGATGGGGCCTGGTTAGTTTCTGCCGGCACAGTGGCCCAAGAGGGAGTGACTGACATTGACTAGGTTTCTGTCCTTCCTTCGGGAGGATCAGCACCATCTTTACCCACAGGACTGTCCCATGTAGCAGATCTTAAAATGCAAGGTCCCAGCAATCCCTGAATTTAAATACCCGGAAAAGGACGTAGGGAGTGAGTTTGGATTAGCCGCAATTCCCCAGACGCCTCCAAATTCTCATGAAAATGACCCCCGCCCAACTCCAGGTGTAGGTGTGATCTCAGGTTGTGATCACTGCCTGGAAAAAGGACTGTAGATCTGTAGCTTGAGGTGAAGTGCAGGAACGGCTGCTCCTCCATCTCAGGAGAATAATCTTTTGTTTGGTTCCCTGAAAGTTTCTTTGACTACTAATCTGGTCCTTGCAAAACAGGTAGCATCTGGGAAGAGCACCCTCTGGGGCTCTATCCTGTAATGTAGTATATCATGGTAAAAAGACAGGTTTCAGAATAACAGCCGTGTTAGTCTGAATTCGCAAAAAGAAAAGGAGTACTTGTGGCACCTTAGAGACTCACCAATTTATTTGAGCATAAGCTTTCGTGAGCTTATGATGCATCCGATGAAGTGAGCTGTAGCTCACGAAAGCTTATGCTCAAATAAATTGGTGAGTCTCTAAGGTGCCACAAGTACTCCTTTTCTTTATGGTAAAAAGAGTGAACCTTCATCTTCAGGTTTGGAGTGGGCATTGCCTGTCCTCTTGAGCATTGCCTGTCCCAGCTAACCCTCTGTCTCCCTCTCAGCCTGGCCAACATCCCACTGACCCCAGAGACCCAGCGGGACCAGGAGCGGCGGATACGCAGAGAAATTGCGAACAGCAACGAGCGAAGGCGGATGCAGAGCATCAATGCTGGCTTCCAGTCTCTGAAAACCCTCATTCCACACACAGACGGGGAGAAGCTCAGTAAGGTGAGGGGGAGTCTGTGTCTGTATGGCTGTGAGGGTGTGCACATGTTCCAGGGTGGGTGTCCAGATTCTGTCTGAGCTGCCAGGATCCTCTAGCTATTAACTTGTTGCTGGCCCATTGCTTTGTAGCAGTGACATTCTGTCATTAAGTAACTCAATCTCCCAACCATGTGAATCTAAAAAAATCTCCTAAGTAAAATAAGCTCACACAGAAAACTTCAGCTTGTAGTTAAGGTTGCTCCTGTAATTATGTAATGAGACGACGAACTTGAGGGGGGCGGGGGGAAGGTAGCGTGAGCACTGAAATTATAGTGAAGGTAAGTAATATAGAAGTTCCCTTAGCCTTGCAATTCATAGACTACACTAGTGATATGTTAAGAGTGTGTAGACGTGTTGTAGAGCAAATATGCACGTTGCATTTTTCATGTCAAACCAATGAGTGGCGTGGCAAGATAACTAGAAAATTTAGCAAAAAGAAAAGGAGTACTTGTGGCACCTTAGAGACTAACAAATTTATTTGAGCATAAGCTTTCGTGAGCAGCTTATGCTCAAATAAATTTGTTAGTCTCTAAGGTGCCACAAGTACTCCTTTTCTTTTTGCAGATACAGACTAACACGGCTGCTACTCTGAAACCTAGAATATTTAGGTAAATTACTGTCACTGGCCACTTCCCTGCTCTTTAGTGAGTAGGGATTGTAAAACTGATGGTCTTGTTGCCTCATATAAGGCTGTTAACAGTGAAGCAATTTTACCTGTGCTAGTAGAATGTTCTGTGTGGGGAATTCCTGGGGCACGCACCTGTGATGTGCCTTAAATACCCAGGACATTGAAACAATCAGGATGGCATAAACATGGAACACTCTGTGTGCATACGTTGGTGCTAGGTCCCGGAGCGCTGCTTCTGTCCTGAGCAATTCCTCCCAGGAGTTCCAGAGCAGGGAGTGGTGGTGGTGGTGACAGGACTAGTTCATACATTTGGGGGGGGGTTAGAAGTATCTTAAACCCTAGAGAGCTGAGAGCCCTTTCCCATCTCCTGCAAGACTTAGGAGCGCTGCAGGAGACAAGGAGCAGAGTCTCTTATCTTTAAGAGTTCCTGGACTTTGCAGGACAGGATTCTTTTGCCAGTGAGCCCCTTACAGCTTCTTGCGAGCAAACTGGCTTCCGATGAAGCACATCACAGCCTAGGCACGCAGCCAGTTAGGCACTGAAGCACTTAGTTTCTGCTAATATAAGACCAAGGAGCCCAGCAGGGCTTAGGTGCTCCTAGATCTCAGTGTTGCTAAAGTTCCCCATGTTGTTGTCTAAACTACCTGGCTTGCTCTGTTCCCTCTTGGCCTTCCTGGAGCATATAAAGTTGTGGCAAACAGTGCTAGTAACTTTGGTCTTTGCAGCTGCTATTTATGGATGCTGCTGTGAATGTCTCGTGTAGAGCCACAGCTTGCTATGACTTTCCTTTTGCACCGGAAATATCTTTTAAAATCGCAGGCATCTGAACAGCCCTGCTATTCAAAAAGGATTAATTGAACCCCTTCGGATTGTGAAATGACTCCTGTGACTTACATGGAGCCCTGCAGCCCACCCTACATATCCCCTCGGTGTGAGAATGTTTGTCACATGTTTGCTCTCATCCTTATGCAGGGCTGTAAATGCTGCTCCTGCCGAGCTAACTAGGCAGCTGCTAATGATGCTTCCAGAAAGGAAACGTGGTGGTGGTTTGGGGCTGGGGGTATGTGTGTGTGAAGTTCTCTGCTTATTGGTGCAGCATGGGCAGCAGCAGGGTGGGCATCTGCCATGTTGCCCTGCCATTGTGCTTAGCTGACCTGGAGAGAATGCCCTCTCCATGGAGGAGAGGGGACTTGAAGTCTCATTCAGTTCTTCTCAGACTGAGATCAAAGGGGCCGGTTAGTGCCTCATACACTGGTAGATTTTGTAACATAGAAACTTGTACGCTAGGAATTGAGCTGAGACCAAGCAACTTGCATCGCAGGCCACCAAGTAACTCTCAGATGCTAACCCCTGGCTCTTTGGGGCGTAGGCTCTGGGGCTTCCAGGAGGTGCTGTGGGTGGTCTAGGAGGCTGGTGCTAGCATGGCCCATTGTCAGAGTGCTAGGAGCAGCTGTAAAGGCAGGTCCAGAACAAGTTGCGGTTCCAGCTGGGAAAGGAGGTGGCTCATGGCTACCACCAGTGCACTGAGGGCCAAGGTACATTTCACTGTCTGGGGGGAGCTCCTTTTAGCACTTCACAAGCACGGAGGAGTCTTTCTGGTCAGGGGTTGAGTGGGGAACACTTATGGCTTAGGGGCCTGGGAAGCAGATGACTGGGGGCTCATCTTCACGGGGAGCTACTACACTGATGGGATAGTTAATCTGGGAGTAGTGGCAGTTTGTCTCCTACCCCAGTCGCCATTTGGTGCAAGGACTCCAGCTGTCTGACAGATGCTTTTTGGAAGGGGTACAGGAACAAATCTCCAGTTATATTTGTTGGTTGGGGGGGAATATCGAGGGGTGGGGGGCATGAGAGGGGAGATGATGACACACTGACCTTCCTGTGCCACTAACCCTCTTTGCTGGTTCTCCCAAGGCGGCGATTCTCCAGCAAACAGCTGAATACATCTTCTCCCTGGAGCAGGAGAAGACTCGGTTACTGCAGCAGAACACACAGCTCAAGCGGTTCATCCAGGTAGTACAACTGCTGCTTTTCTCTCTGCTATTCCCCTTTCCGACATCTCTGCCAGGAAAGCTCCAGAACACAGAATAACCCAGGCCCCTTAGCAAGCATGAGAAGCATTTGTATTGCCCAATGTAATCCCCACCCATCCCGGTCGGTATTGGTTAGCTGATGGAATGTCGCTGGGTCTCTCCGTGCGTCACCTGGTGGAGTTACTCTGCTCTCTCTGGGTGCGTGGCCAGTCAGGCCTCCTGCTTCTCCCCCAAACTCTTCTAGATCAGGAGTGGAAACCCTGCGGGGATAGGAGGGGAGACTTCCTGCCGCTTATCCTTGTGACACGGTGAAGTTGGGTATAGGCCTCTTCCCTGCCTGGGTGTGTATCCCAGTCATCTTGACCTGTCCCTGTGCTTGCGTGATCCAGATCTCAGAGCTTTGCTGCATCTGTTTTGCTGGGAAACTGACAAGAAGCAGCACAAACCTGACGTAACCTGCCCCTGCAGAGGGCAAAGTGAATGGGGAGTTGCTCATTGGATAGGATGTCCTTAAGCTGACTAGCTGCTCCAGGTGCCTTGTTGGCAGTGACTTTCCACTCTGATAATGTGCTCAGTGCTTATTTAAGTGAGGGTCTGGTCTGGTTTGGGTTCCTGACCTGCAGTACGCCTGCTCTCCAGCCCTGGGACCCCACACAGCTGTGCCAGTGCACCTTGGCTTAGCTAGCTGGGACTGTGCAGGCAGAGGCTGCAGCCATGTAGCTGTCCGCACTAGTGGCGAATGCATGATGAGCCCACAGCTCACTTTTGCGGGGGTTTTAATATTCTGGCAGGGCCAAAGGCGAGCTCGTTTTAACCCCTCACTGGTGGGATGGCATTCACAGTGCTGCACTCCTTGCTACTCCATTTCGGTGTAGTAGGAACTTGGGCCCTAGCTGGGGAGCTGACTGTGTTTTAAAACTGGATAAATCTGTTTGCATGTGACCAAAATATTGATGGCTTTTACAGGCTGGGTTACAGTTCTCGGGCGTTTCTGGAGAGTTGTCCGAGAAGGCTGTAGCGTGGCTGGAGTGTGTCAGCGGCTCATCCCTGGCTGTGATCTTGTTGGCTATCAAGTGAAGCAGGATCAAGCCTAGGGACAGAGTTTGTGTGGGAGACTGACACAAGCTCAGGGACACAGCAGGAAGTGCTGGTGGTGACTGAGGGGAGAGAGCACTTTCCCTGGGCATGGGTCCTGAGCCCAGCATTGTGCCAGAAAACCACTGTGCTCCTGGAGGTGTCCTGAGCTGCTCTATCAGATTGTTTGCTGAAATGTGTGTCACTAGGAGTTTTAACCCCCTGTCTGGGCAAGTGCCAGTGGGGTAATTAGTAACTGCTGGCACTTAGCCCTTTTCATCTATAGATCTTTTTTTCACAAAGGGGCGGAGTGAAGGTTATTATCCCCCCTTCAGAAGCTGAAGGATACAGAAAAGGAGTCTCCTGACGCTAACCATTGCCGCTGCTGCCCTGCGTTTACCCTGATATGGGTTCTTCACTTGCTGTTGTCCTGTTCTTGTGTGCTGCTGTGTTCCACTCCAGAGGTGGCTGCACTTTGCTGTGCAATCTGTGGCATGCTCTGGGATCCCTGTGGTGATGGAAGGGTATTCGTTGACAGGCCCTGTGGTCACCGTTTGGTCCCTTTGCCTCTGACTTTGTTTTATTGGCAGGAGTTCAGTGGCTCCTCCCCGAAGCGGCGGCGGGCAGAGGACAAGGACGAGGGCATTGGCTCACCAGACATCTGGGAGGACGAGAAGGCAGAGGATCTGCGCCGAGAAATGATCGAACTCCGACAGCAGCTTGACAAGGAGCGCTCGGTCCGCATGATGCTGGAGGAGCAGGTGAGGCCTGTGCAGGGGGTGTAGACAACCTGGACACAGGGTAGCTGGTGCAAGGAGGGTGCTCTGCTCTCCAGGCAGGGGTGTCTGGGGGAACTGACAGCCTCTGAGGAGCCTGTTCAGGGTTCAGAGGAACAGCCGTGTTAGTCTGTATTCGCAAAAAGAAAAGGAGTACTTGTGGCACCTTAGAGACTAACCAATTTATTTGAGCATGAGCCTTCGTGAGCTACAGCTCACTTCATCAGATGTAGCTCACGAAAGCTCATGCTCAAATAAATTGGTTAGTCTCTAAGGTGCCACAAGTACTCTTTTCTTTGTTCAGGGTTGTGACTGGAGGAGGAGAGGACCCAGCCTGTGCCACCTGCTCACCAGCAGATTGACTCCTCAGGGAGGCAGCTGTCTGTGCTCCTGGCCCCTTGTGCTTGCAGCAGGGTAGTGCAGGCAGTCTGCAGTCTTGTGGCGCCCTCTAGTGCACGATGGCAGATCAACCCAGATGAGATGTGCTGAGACACTAATTTCTCTGAAGTACCATCTGCCAGGAATTTCTTTTGTCTTGGTGAAGCGACTACAATTTGTAAGCAGGTAGAGTGGGATCCTGGCACTCTGCCGGACGCTGTGTGCCGTGTCCTGAAGGATATATGCGCTGCCTTCCCCGTGTTCCAGCCATTTTCCCCCTTGGCTCAGGAGCTCCTGACGTGCTGTTGCTGCCCTTGTCATTGTTTGCCTGTCAGTTGCCTATGTTCTGTGGTCACAGCATGTTCTTGTAGCCCATCAGGGCTCTGGCTGTACCCGCCTCAGTCTTGCTGGGCGCATTCATGTCTCTTGACGGGCCACGTCTTCACTGGTGTGTGTCGGAAGGCAGAGCAGGGCTGCTCCTTACCTCCAGGTCACATCTGTGTGGCAGAGCTGTGTCTGTGATGGATGCCTGTGCTGTCTCCCTAGGCCAGGATGTGTAGGTTGGCTGTGGTCTACGAGTTTTGCTCCTGGCATTGAAATGTGGGGCACCTCACTGCCCTCCTTGAGGCACCCCAGGCAGACTCCTGGAAGTCCAGTCTGTGGCTGGCCCAGACTGCTTCAAAGAGTAAATCTCAAAACTCAGCCCTGAGCTAGTCAAGATAGTGGAGCACCAAACTCTGTGCTTGCACGCCGTGATGGTGCAGACTGGGCTGTGAACTGCTCGGTCCAGTGAAGCACACGGCTCCATTCCCATTGAAGCCACGGGCTCTGCCCAGTGCTGGTTCCTTGGTGCGCTTGGGCCTTCAGGCTTGAAGCCTGGATGCGGAGCTCTAGGTCATGAAATGAGGTGGAACCTCCACAGTCAAGATGGAGGTGCTGACGCTCCCTCCCTGAGGGCTTTGGTTCCAGGCAGCTTTGCATCAAGGCCTTCAGATTTCTCCCCCTCCAGAACTCATCCACTGAAAGGGGAGAAGGAGTGTGGATTCTGAGTATTGGTGCATGCTTGGTGCCTACCCTGATTGCTCCTGGTCCCCTGCAAGGTTTCAATGAGGCCTTCCTTATCTGCTTGGAAGCATCCCTCTAGCCTGGACCCAGCAGATGGAGTTGGAGCACTTGTGCTGAGGCAGTTGGCTCTCCCAGCACAGGAGATTTTGATATCTCTGCTTTCCAAATCTAAGGCCTCCCAGCTCCTCTCCCAATCCCCTCAATAATTCCAGCTGCCTGTATCAGGGCAGGCAGAGAACCAGGGTGACAGAGGCTGCTCTCTGGACTCGGATGATGCTAAATTCTCTCCCACTGTGGGAATGCCAAATTCGTCCTATTCATGTGAGGATTCTGCTCTTTCCTGGTTCCTACTGAAGCTCTTCAAGATGGGTGACATAGAGCTGAAGCCAGTCTGGGATTCCACAAGGGCCATGATTGTGAAGTACCTGGGCTAGGAACTCTCTCCGACCAGTTTGTCATGCTCATTTACTTCATTTTGGCTCAGCTGGTGAAAGAGGGGTGGGCGGCAGGCCCCTAACGCAGACCCTCTTGCAAGAGCTGGAGGAAAAAAAACTGTTCCCAGAAGATGGTGCTAGCTGGCTCTCCCTCCCACTCTGAGACTGTGTGGTGGAGTTGGTTGTCGCTACGGGGAAGACCAGCCATGCTCATAGTCCTGCACCCCTGTGCTCTCAAGTCTGTCTCCTGGCTTGCCCCTTGGGTTGCTCCGAGTGAGGGTAGGGCAAGGCTGTGCTTGGAAAGCTGATTTGACCTTCCTGTTGATCTTCAGAGGTCCTTAATGGTTGCCAGACTTGGAGGTTCAGGTGAGTGCTATGGACTCTTGAGATTCCTCCCCAAGACAGTGTCAGATGCCAGCCTATTTTCCTGCCAGCTCTCCTAACGCCCATCCTGGTGAGGCCTTTCCCCATGTGTTCTGTGCTGAAAGGTCTTCGGCTTCTGCCTTGAGTGGACTAAAGCCCTAAAAGAGCCATCCAGGTTTTCGCACCATTTGGCAGTGCCATGACTACATCGAAGTGCCTGGAGTGATGCATGGTGCCATGGCCTGGCTAGCTTGGAACTTGGCTGCCTTTTCAAGGCAAAGCTGTCCCCGTGGGCTGTCTCAGTGTGTTTCTGTTGCAGAAATCTGGTAACACAGTGCTGCAGTCTCTTCTCCACACTTATAGAGCCTCACTGCCTTGATTTGCTCTCAGTAGGGAATGCCATTTCAGCCTCTGAACCTGGTCCCAAGGCCAGGGACCCCTTGTTGTTCAGCCCTCAGGGAGGTCCTTTTTTCATTGTAGATGTCCCTTATTGCCTATCTTTTTGTATAAAGTTTTTTTTGTTTCTAATTTACTGTCTCCTCTCAGGTGCAAACATCCAAGCAGCTGAAACTTTGAAGAGCTGTCTTACCCCACTGAGGTGTCTATATTAAAGCACAGCGTGTTCTTGCCACTCCATTGGCTGTACTCCTTCTTTTGGTCATTCTGTGAGCTGCTTATTGTGTGTGCACCTCCTGGGGGACGGTATCTTTATGGAGGAGAGAGTCCCCTCTCTTCAGAGAAGCAGAGTGAAAGGGATCAGTCAGACAGGGTTGTCACCTGCCGACCCAGTGCCTCTGATTTGGGGGCTCTTTTCCAGGTGTTCTGCTTGCACTGTGTTTCTGTTGGTGCTTACGTTCTGATCGTCGTGACTTGTTATGGGAACTTCACCTTCAGCAGAACTGAACAAAATGACTGGAGCTTTTGGAAGGCTGCATTTATATCCCCTCTGGAGGGTGACTGGTAGGGGGCCTGGCTCATGCCCCAACCTGCTACCGCTGCCCTAGGGGCTGAAAATCCTTTCAGAGCAGTGGGAGTCCCGTTGGTCTCATGCTAAGATCAAAGAGCAACAATCCTGTTGCAATGGTCTCCTCAGAGGAGTGGAGTTTCAGGTGGATAATTCCCTGGTGGCCAAGCAGAGTGGAGGGAATTGCCCGTCTCTTCCAGCGCTGGTGGTAGTGATGGCTGGAATTCTCAGTAGCATGGCACGTGGATCACACTGGTATGGGAGTTTGAAGACAATGAATTGGCCTTTGCGTTTGTGGAGCAGAAACTTTTTTCAGGAGTCCCCTGACTTGATCCTGTGCAAGACTGCACATAACAGTCTCAGCCTTCCAACAGGGGATATCTGTGCTGACCAAGGAGCGGAGCCCAGGCTCCAGAGTCATGTTAGATCTGTTCCTCCAACGGATCTGCATCTGATTCATATCTTCCCTTATGGGACCCTGGAAATCTCCAAGCGGTGTTCACCTAACACCCAGCCTCACTGCATTCCTCCCAGAGGCACGCTGTTAGGAAAGAGCCTGTCTTCCCATCTCTTTGCTTCATTCATCCATCTTCACTGCAGGAGTGCAGCATTAAGGAGTATGTCAGCCACATGCTGCCACCTCGTGTACCTGAGGCACTGGTTGCAGGGGCCTCACCACAGAGGAACATCCTTTGGCATTTGGCGCTCGTTGCTCCCAGCAGTTGCCGAATTCTCTTGCTGCTGCTGCTTCTATGAGCAGCTCTCCCTCATGGAAGCCTTTGGGGGTGGGCGCTATGAGGACCCGTGATGTGCTCTGGTGGAATCCCTGGCACTGAAATGGATTCCACCATAGTACCAAGCCACCAGACTGCCTTGGCGCCGTCTTGATAAGCAGGGTTGATGTATGTGTGAGGGTGGGGTTGTGCTCCTCTTCCACACCCAATGGTATGGGCTCCTCTCTCTGATTGCTGGCAGGTGCGCTCCTTGGAGGCCCACATGTACCCTGAGAAGCTCAAGGTGATCGCCCAGCAGGTGCAGCTCCAGCAGCAGCAGGAACAGGTGAGATTGCTGCACCAGGAGAAGCTGGAACGTGAGCAGCAGATCCGAACGCAGGTGAGTGCGCTGACCCCGCCTCCCATCTCCCACCGCCCCAACCCCCTTGAGATCACATGTGGCCCAAACGCTGACCCTGTCCTTAGCTCCTCTGCAGGGAGATTTCAGATGGTTTTGCCCACAGCCTCATGTGCAGGTGTTTAAATCCAAGGGTGTTGGGGGGAGCGGCCCGATGACACGATGCACCTCCCATCAGGAAGACCTTGGAGTCTTTCCATCCTCGGGCTGGCTGGGGCTGAGAGCATGGCGTTGGCAATGCTCTCGGCTCCAGGGGAGGGGGAAGGGGCGCAGCGCGCATGGCCTTCTCGCGCCTCTCCTGCTGGGAGGGGGCGACGTGGCAGTGGTGGCAGAGAACTGTCTTCCCAGCTTGCAGGCTGAGGGCATCATTTGAAGCTGCTGCTGGGGAAGGACTGGCTCCTGAGTGTGGCTATGGGGGCGGTTGGAGAACCACAGCTTGTAGCTTAGTCCTTTTGCTCTAATCCTCCATCCAGAAGTCTCGGTCACATTCCATAGGTCCACCTCTCTCTCCCTTAGGTAGCAAGGAGCTTTCTTCACCACTGGTGGTGGTCCCACCGGGGAATGACCACGTTGAGGAGGGCCTGGGTTATGTTGGATCAGATCTTGTGTCTGAATGCCACTCTGCGGGGGGAGAGCTAGACCTAGAGAACGTGACCTTTGGCTCTGCTTGGGCCCATGCCAGGTGTGGTCTGGTTAATGCTGGGTGGACAGCTCTGCTGGCTGGAGTGTGATGTCCCCCTAGCAGGTGCAGCATAGTTGACAGGAAGGTGAGAATCTCCCTGAGTGCTGCCTGGAGGGGTCCATCCAGGAGTAGGGGGAGTTCATTGCCAGTTCAGTCTTTGGCTCTTCTGCTGAGGATAAGCAGGGGCAGTTCTTGGGTTCTGGTTTGCAGAAGTCTGTCTATGAGGACCTGATAGCTCTCCACACGCAGGACATCTGTGAGCTAGCTGCCCTCACAACAGACCTGGTCTGTGTTTGGACTAGCAACCTAGCGCTGAAAGCACCTGCTCCACCCCAAGCCAGCCGGTTCCCTCAGGGCTGTCAGTGCCTCTTAACCTAGTAATTGCTGACGTTACACACACCCCCACCCCCCCATTCAGAGCTGCTGACTCTACCCAGCATGTGATGTTGTTTGTGCCCCCCATGAACTTTCCATAGAAAAGCCTTTCCATGTCCAGGGAAAATGAAATATCCTTAATCCTCACAGAAAAGAGCAGGCTGATGGATCGTGCGGGCTGTGAATGTCCAGTTTGGCCAGACCAAGCTAGCGTGCTAAGCATCCAGAAGTCAGGACATGCCCAAGTGAAGGTTGCTGCATAATCTGACCCCTGTTCCCTCCTTGGGCATTAACGTGCAGTTGAATTGCATGGTCACGTATAAGATTCTTCCTGTAGGTCCTCTGCCTCATTGAGTGCCCTGGCTGTGCAGAGTGTAATGAAAGAGGCAGGGTGGGATATTACTTTTTAAATCCCCTCGAAGCGATTAGCTCCTTTCTGCAAAGTTGTTGGCACGTGCTTTGTTCCCTATCTTGCCGCCTTCCACATTTTGCAGCCGGTTCCTTCTTGAACACAGTCTGCAAAGGAGCTCCCTGCAGAAAACTGCTTTGTTGGCCATCACTCCAGCTCCATGCTTGTTGATTCCCTCTCGGTTCCTGTACCCAACCTGTCAGCTCTGGCCTTGGGCCTTTCGGTGCCTGTCTTCTGCAGTGCATTGTGCCTGTTTCGTTTGGGGACCCTCTTAGTCTTCGATGCTTCCCACTTGTATTGTTGGCGTGGTGGTTCGCCAGCCCTGAGTGTAGGAGCTCTGGCTAAAAACCTGAGCTGCCAGCCGGAATGGTGCTTGGTATTGGTGCCTGCCCTGCTGTTTGGCCTCCAGATGTCTGCTCTGTGGAGCTTGCACATGCTTCTGCTGTGCCAGTGCTTCCCTGGATGTGGTGGTGCCCTGCTCTCTCTGCAGGAAAGGCACGGGGAAGGAGCCCACTCAGGAGCTTCAGACCCTGTCAGTGCTGCAGTCCTGACAGTCACATCATTAGGCTCTTCCTTGGAGCCTAACACAACGTGCTGGGGTGCCAGGCACGTGTGCACATGTTACCCTGAGCACGTAAGGCTCATGGAGCAAGTCTGCAAGTCCTCCCTGAGGCACCCTAGGGGGAGACCTGTATGTCCAACTCCAGGCTGGGCTGGAGTGCTCTGGGGAGTAACCTCTCCTAACTAAAGCCTGAGTGGGATGAGACAAGTGTGGTTAAAACAGCATTGCTGCTGTCCCTCATTAGCTTAGTGCAGGGCTTGTGCTTTGTGTCAGTGGGATATTACTGTCCTGCCAAAGCTTGTGGAAGCGCCTCTTGGACTTGCTCCTTGTCAGCTTGCCTTACACAGAAGGGGACACTCCTGTTGCCAGTGACTTCAGCTCGATTCAGAGCGAGTGAGCTTCAGGCCCTCATTCCATCTGCCTTATTGCAGGCTCTTCAAGGGAGATTGCTCTCCCAGAAGATCTCCCAATTCCTCCTGAAGGATTGTCCTGCCAGCCTGCTTCCATGTCCATCTTGGGGAGGCCCTCCTACGCTCACACCTGCCTGAATGTGACACAGGCCATCGAAACGTGTGACAGATACCTGAATGTGCTACACCTGTTTTGTGACGGGCCATAACAAATTGGATATAATGACTTAATTCCCCAACCAGTTCTTTAAAGGACAGCTCATTGCTGTGTGACCCAACCCAGTTTTAAAGAGAACTGGACTAACAAATTCAGTCATGTGCAACAATTGGGGCTCCCTGCTTAAGCCATCAGCTTGGTTTGAACCATGGACTTTTGGATCCCAGCACAGATCTCTACCATTTGAACTAAAGGAGTAACTTATCCTCTCTATGGACCAGCCACCAGCTGCGGGGAGTTGGCACATTTTGCTATTCTTTTATTTTTTGCTAGGTTTGATGGGGTGTTCACGCCACACTGGAAAGGAAGAGGTTAAAAGCAGTTTAGCAGCCAATCAGGGCCCAGCGGGCTTAAATAAAAGAGAGCTGCAGGGCAGAGCTGGGTCAGTTACTTCAGGAAGCCCAAGGAGAGAGGATGGTGTTCCTAGTGGGCTGCAGGATGGTAGCACCTTGGACAGAGCAGTTGGTGGCAGGGACTGGAGGAGCTAAGAGGTAACTCCTGGCTAGCTACTGGGACTTGCGGGCTGGAGGCCCTGCGAAGAGGATGAAGAAGGTGCAGGGGGAAAATGGATGGTGACACGGCCGAGATGTGAAGAGGATACTGCGTGTCTAGGAGTGAGACAAGTCTGTAGGTGGAGAAGGTGGCGAGAGAGGCACCACCAGGAGAAGGCATACCAGCTGAGAAAGCTAATGCCTGCGGTGATTGGCAGGAGGTGCCACTCTGAGTGAACTCTGTCACATTAGGTAGCAAGCAAATGCTGGAGCTCAGGAATTCCTGGTCGGATTCTTGGCTCTGGAAGGGGACTTTGATTTAGTAGAGCAATGGTTACAGGAAGCCAAGCCCGTAGAATTGGCACTTTCATTCGGAGAGGCAGGGTGGCTGAATAGATAAGACTTGGATCTACCATGTGAGACCTGGGCTTAGTCTCAGTTTTGCCTGAAGGGTCCATGTGCAATCCGTTACCATATTGTAAAATGAGGGGCTGATACTCGATTGTCTCCTAGGTTAATGAGTGAGGCTCCACTCGGTAATAAGGGCTCTGAAGAGCACTGAAACAATTCGCTAGAGATGTGAGAGAACTCCTGGCTCCCAGCTCCATGCACTTTCTTCTTGGCTACAGAGCACCTGGGTGGGCAGTCTCCCTTCTCCTCCCCATTTCCCTGCAGGACTACATTGTTGTCTCAGCAGTCCTGAGGAACAGGGAGCTTGGATCATTGGAATGGGGAAAGTCATGCAAAATCTGGTGTATGTGGGAGCGCTGTGCCGCATTTCAAAAGGTCCCTAGAGTTTGTTGTTAGCTCTAAGAAGGTCTCCTCATTTTAAACCCCATGTGCTGGCAGTGCTGTTACTGAAAGGACTGTGGCTAAGTGTGTGTCTCTCTCTGCCTTTCACATTGCCAGGACCTAAGTGATTTGAATTAAGGAGGCCATGCCAAGGGTTGAGGCAATACCTTCACCCCAGCCTGTCCTAGAGATCTATTCATCACAGGTGTTCTGCAACATAGCTGTCACCTGCTCTGCATGTGCTTACTGGGCTCTGTGGCTTGGTTTGGGATCAAGAAGGGAATCCCAGTTTAGTCTCTGTGCACTAGGGTTTAGTTTCCCTTCTGTGGAAGCCAAACTTTTTGTGTGTGTCTTCATTTGGCCAGTTCTTGCCCCGCCCCCATGCTTGTTTTGGTCCTTACTGAACTTTCACTCCAAGTGCAGCTACTGCTCCGACCAGCCTAGAGCAGCACCTTTCCCTGATCACACTGTTGGTGATGGCCTGGTGTTGCTGCTCATTTCAGCTGTGCTGCGTATTGGGCCACACCTAGAGCTTGCTCTCCAAGAGTGAGAATCCTGCACAAATGACTTCTAAGAGAGGGGAAAACTCACTTCCCTTATCACTCTGTTTCTACAGAGCCCTACGGCAGGATTCCCATGGATGCTTGAAAATTTCCTGTTTTAAAGGTCTAGCTTCTCTCGCACACTCCTGGATTAGTGAATTTCTGAGGCACACTTTTTTTTGTGCATTGATCAACTTGTTTGCGCTTTGTGGGAGCTTTGCCTTCTCATAGGAATTTTCTGGAATGGTCTGAAGGCATCGTTTTACCTTGGCAGTGGGTGGCACATAGCTGCCGGCAGGAAGCCTGGCTTCATAGAATCATAGAATATCAGGGTTGGAAGGGACCCCAGAAGGTCATCTAGTCCAACCTCCTGCTCAAAGCAGGACCGATCCCCGACTAAATCATCCCAGCCAGGGCTTTGTCAAGCCTGACCTTAAAAACTTCTAGGGAAGGAGATTCCACCACTTCCCTAGGTAACGCATTCCAGTTTTTCACCACCCTC